TGTGAAGAAGCTGATATGGGGTTTGCACAGGTGCACAGCTATTTTGTTACTCAGGGAAATTTTCAATTCAGAGGTTTCTGTAAGGAAGTTTTTAAATGTGTTTAAAATGGATCATTGCTTAAGCGTCGTTTGTATGTGGCGTTATTACATTGTGTGGACCAGTTTTGTTTTGATGTCATCACTGGGAGGGCATTTTGGCCACCTTCAAAGGGCTTTCTGAAGGTTAAGACTTGATTAAGGTTAGGTATTAGGGTAAAGGGCTAGGCAATGCATTATGTCACAGAGCGTCCTCGCAGCAGTAGTAAGACACGACTGTGTGTGTGTGTGTCTGTTGTTGGCTGTCATAGCTGTTTCCTGATTAACTGGAAGAAGCCTGTTCCGCAGAGTTATAAAATGATGTATAGAGCAAAACAAAGCAAGAGTTTCAAACTCATAATCCACTGTGTTTTCTCGAACAACAACATTGATTTTTTTTATAATTTAATTTAATTTAATTTTTTTATTTCTGTTTGTGCGTCGGCATTTACCGCATTATTAAACTTGGTGTCCAGAACTATACAAACTCTGACACTCAGAAGGCTCTCCTTAGACAATACCACATACTGTATTTGAGAAACTGAAGCCCTTAAGTGTTCTGCATCCGTGCTTAAAACTTGGCTTAAACTGTTCTCATTAGTTTCTGATTGATTTTTCTATTGATCAGCTAATTAATTAATCAACTAATCATTGCAGTTGTTTAAAAATATAACAAATAATATTGAATGGACCTAAATGTGATGAATTTTGGCTGCTGTGAAGAGCAGCTTTGAGCAACACCAATTAGAGGGCTATTGCTGTGTTTTTCATTTTTATTATCATGGCAATAATATAACAGAGCACCAAGATTAACCAGCTTTTTGTCATTACTTACAGTATAAAGAGTGAGTGTCAGAAGCAGCTTTGTGGTGAAATGCCACCAGTTAAGCTTCATAATGTTGCTTGATGTTGGCACAGTACAAGTGCTTTGCATATGACCAGATCAGCACAGTCCAAAGTGATACTGATGCGTTGGAAGTCTCATGATTTCCCCTGTTGTAAAAAGGTTGCACTGAGTGCCGCTGCAGAGCTAGCCTATTAATGTGTTGGAGACTTTACTTGAATTCACTGGTTTATACTACAGCTGATATATGATAGATAATCATCATGGTCATCATTATAATCATGGTGACTGCTAGGCTATAGAGCAATACAGTGACTACATAAAAACAGCTGGAAACTTGTTCCAAAAGTTAGTTTTTATCCCCCATTTATTGTGTTCCATAACTTTCCCTCTCTCTCAATTTTGTTGTAAATACAGGCTATGCGCATTGGATGGTAAGGTTATTTAAAATTTATGAAGATAGTATTATCAAATTGTGCTAACCCATCTGTTTATATGTGTAGGATTTTCTGGTAATGCAAGCTATCAAATTTTGCTGACTGAGGCACACACATCATCCCTGGACCCCTTTTTTATGCTTTGAACTTTTTTCCCTTTGGAGCATTTAAAGTGTAATCACCACCAACAGCTGCTTAAATCAGGTAGAGCACCTTTTAGCCTTTTTTATGTGTTGCAACCTTTTTTAATTGAATCTCTTCTGATGGATCAGGCTCCTGATGTCACTGAGCTTTCTGGTTTTATTTTCCCCTGTCCAAGATGGGGAAATGACTTCATGTCTAGTGAAGTCACAGTATGGTAAGGTTATTTAAAATAATCTGAGAGACTTGGTGGCACCAGTGCCACCAGTATGAAATTTTAGTCTGGAGCCCTGCATTAGTGTTCCTGCTTTCTCAAAGGAGTCCTGATCTAGCTTAATTCTTCTTGTAAGTGGTTGTAAACAACTTTGTTGCAGGCTCAGTTCATGTCTGACCTGCATTTCCCTTTTAGCCTTGAGCAGAAAAGATGATACAGCTTTATGATGATATTACAGCTACTTGTGACTCTGCCAGTCCAGACTGACTTTCACTCTGTAAGGCTGACCCTTGCTAGCTGTGCTGTGGTGTAATAGTGCAGTGCTGCCTGGCTAACTGCGCTACATTATCACAGCCAGCAGGAAACAGGAAGGGAGCAGCCAGCTGCAAGGTCAGAGGTCAATCTATAGCATGAGGGGGATGGTGGACAAAAACCTAGCGTTTAGAAAAAAAGTTTGGGATTCTTGCCGTTGTTGTGAGCGAGAATGGTGGTGAGAGACGGAAAAGAAAATCAATACAGGCTTATGACAGAGTAGGTTAGCAAACCACATCTGTATGCATGTAGCCCACTGACTGCATTGTGGGCTATGGCACAGCAGCTCAAAATAGCAGTAACAGTTATAGGGAAAGGCTGTTGAGACACTGTCTGCTACTCAGAATACACATAGTACAGAGCTAGCGTTGGACAGGGGTGAGGGAAGAGAGATGCTAAAACAGATATCAGCTTGTTCTGCTGTATATGACATTTGATTTGAACCTGTATCTTACTTGGTGTTTCAAAGCATTTTTCATCCTGCCATTTGTTACGCAGCATGTATGTATTACAACAAGCACCAAGTTGTGTTCTGTATGTGTAGAAAAGCTGCAACCTGTAAATACCCAACTGTTTGGCTGTGTCACCTGAAAAATCTTGACTCGAGGCTTGTGACTGCCTGATGTTGTTTTAACAGCATACACACTGAACAAGCAAACACAGTCCAGACCACACCCACACGATCCTGATGAAATACGGTGGCTGAGTTTTCTCAATTCTTAATAAATATAATCGAGAGCTGTTTAATTAGTAACTTTAATAATTGATAATTAATTTTTCACTTTGTTATTTTTGTGCATTAGAAAGGATGAAGAATGTTAGTTGCGGCCCTTATTGCAGTTTTGTTTTGCATGCCAACTCTTGTTGGAACCTTGAGCAGAAGGCCAAGGCTCCATCTTGTTATCTGCCATGGCTAGGTAACTGACTAGCATCTCAGAGAGGTGTATTGTTTGGGGGGCCTTCAATTCACATCAGTTTACCGTGTCTCTAGAAGGGTCCTGTCTGTTTTGCAAAACTTTGTTTCCCTTTTGTTTTTCTGTGTAGACTCATTTTTAGGTTACAGTGGGATTCGCTGATCTGGGTGGAGTTCACACAGAGCTAAAGAATACAGAAGGTTACTCGTAAAAAAAAATTAGACTGAATCAGTTAATATATGTAAAATTCAGCCAAGCATAAACCTCATGAGATTACATTCACAGCATATTGTGGTTCCAAGTGAGAATTTTCAAACTTACACTTAGCATATGCTTCTGCATTATGCATGAAATCATACGGTGGGTCTGAAGAGAGGAGTCTGTAAGCTTGAAGTCTTAGCGTCCATGAACATTTCAAGCTCAGACATGATAGGAGGGGGAAATGGATTCACAAGATTGTAAACTCACTCTAGATGTGGAAACACAAGCTTTGAGTGGTGATGAGACTAATTCCACATATAAACTAGAGAGAGATAACTGTAATGTTTGATTGCATTTTAGAACAATGTCAAGCAGGAGGGGGTCACTGTAGCTTAGATATGAGCACAGACTAGAGAGAGGTTGACAAGAAAATGGATGAGACTGCAACTTTAAGGCTTGGTAGGTCAGTAGGGCCAGGAAGCAGAAGACATGGAGGACGACCTCCTGCTGAGCTGATAGCTGCTGGAGAAATCGCACAGAAATCCAGTGCCACAAACGCCTACTTTTTCAGTGATAATACTGGAAAGGCTTCATGGTTACGGCTGCATGAGCTCTGTGGGGAGATGCTGAGAGTAGCTGAAGGTCTCATTTTCCACACTACATCACTGATGAGGGTAGTCCTGAGTGACTTCAAAGACACAGTCACTGGTTTCAAGACTTTACTGTAGATTTTAAATGGGCAGAGCAGTTCAAAGGATTAGAT